CTAGGCCCCTGGGTGGGGCCCGACTAGTAACCAATGCCAAATCCGGCGAAACAACTGGCCGCTGTGATACAATTGTATAATAATAATAATAAAGCTTCTGATTCTTCTGGCATTTTCTAAGGCCTCATGGGCTAGTAAATTGATATTTGGGTTTTTATGGTTATTGTTAATAAAGAAACTGGCTAACTTTCTACAGATGCTCTTCTTAAAGAAAAACACTGGAACTCACCGTGATGGGGAAAATGCATAATATTTATGAATGATCAAGATTATTTTTCAAATGTCAGATTTCAGAATTTCTTATTCTTTTGGATATAACATTTCTGACTGTTTACACAGAATCTATGTGAATTCTGATCTACCCCAGAATTATACTAAAATGCTGAAGAGAAAGAAACATTTACCAAAAACTTCATCCAGTTCATTGTGAACTTTTCTTTGGATTTCTGGATGCCTTGCAAGTAAGTAAATAGCCCAGCTCAAGGCAGCAGCGGTGGTATCATGACCCTAGGAGGAAAATTTCAATCTATAAAACTTTATTATATGTTTCTTAACTTGGCATCTTGTCAATGAGTTATGATACAATTGCCAACTGCAAACACTAATAGCCATGCTGCTTGGGAACTAAGGAAGTTGTCACCCTGATACATCTCAATATCATTAGGCTAAGGAAGTCTGCATAATTGTATGCCAGTTGATGCAGTTCAGCCAAAATCAGATACACAATTATCTCCCTGAAATCAATGGGTATCATAATACTTAGCTTTGGCAGGTTTACAGCAATACTTTGGCTTTTAAATAGCAATGTTGGAAGGTCAACATGAAATTACAATGCAAAAAGCAATCATGAAACAACCCTTCATCAGTAGCCAAGTACCAAAATTTAAAAGGGGCAAGGAAAGGGCAGAGAGCTTGCTTGAACTAAGTATTTTGACTGTGTAATATATATTTTCCCATTAATGGATAACTGAACATTAAGGCCAATCTTCTGAAAGACTTGCAGATAGCTGTTACATTTGCTTCCCAAGTTGCTGAAAGCATCCATCTACAATAGGGCTGTCAAACTCTTGGCTCACGTGCCAGATGCGTCACATGCGAGCCACACCCATGCCCAGTTTAGCAAAGGGGAAAAATACATCACATGATGCTGCTGTGACAACATGAGTTTGACACCCTTTATCTATAATATAATGTGAAACATTGCACAGCTCTATTAGGTATGGTGCAGCCTGGAACAAGACCTTGTTTTATTTTATTTTTATTTATTTGATTTTTGAAGTTTCTACTGGAAGGAGAAAGAAGGAAGCATGTGGGAGTTCCTGTGTTTGCATGTATCTGTCAAACACAGGAACTCCTACATGCTTCATAAAACAAAACACCCAAAGAAGGAACAAACTTAAATGAAGGTACTGTTAAATTTAAAATGTTTGGAGATTGAAAGTGAGGTTAAAAAAAAGAAGTGATTCTGAGTCTATTCTCAACAGGGATTCTGGAGTTTTGTCTGACATGGAAGAAATTAATTTTTGCTTTTTTTCAACTAAATAAAAAGACATGGGGGCATGGTATACTGACAATGGTACTAATTGCTGTTGGAAGAAATCTGGGACTGACAAAGTAGAAACTTGAGGCACGGGTGAGGCACAGACACAACTCTAGGGCTCAAATTTTCACCTTTAAAATTATTTCTTCTCAGTCTTTATTATTGTCTTCAAAGCCCTCAATCATAATGGGTGTACCAAGTGGTTATGATGGAAATAAGTGCCATATAATGAGTCTCCCTTCTGGGGGACTTCTTTTCTAAGAGAGCATAGTTAAAAGCCTAGTTAAAGCCTTATTCTTCCAGGGGATGTATAATCTGATACTTATTAATCTTAGTCACATAATATTATGTGGATTAAAAAAAACTTGGGTCTCTAAAACATTAGCTGCCATAAGGATGTTTGCCAATATGTCAGAACATAAAATAAACATAGTTAAGTGTTAGCATTTTACAACTGGTAGCCAAGAAAAAATAATTTATTATGATTTATAGTCTTACAGAGGAAAGACTATAGTGGCATTCAAAAGAGAAATGATCGGATTTCCAGTGGCCTCTTTGAAGTTGTGTTCTGATCACGCTATACCTCAAACATAAATGTATCCACTTCCTCTCGTATACCGGAGTAACTCAACTTCCTCCCATCTTCATCTCTGGCATTCAGAAGCATATCGAGGAAAGCTTTCCTCTCGTTATTCTTTCTTAGGTGATTGCTGCTGGCAGCGCCATTTTGATATTGCTCTTGTTGCTTTATTTTGTGCATTTTTTCTTCAATAACCTTAGAGTATGGTGAGAAAATACCATTTATTATATATTAATTCAAGATGTATTATGAGCAACACCATGCAAAAGTACAGGTAGTCCTCAACTTACCACAACATTTATGTTGCCAAATGAGATAGTTGTTGTTAAGTGAGTTTTGCTTCATTTTATGACCTTTCTTGCTATTGTTAAATAGATCACTGCAGTTGTTAAAGTTGGTTCCACCACAAATCTGCGAAGCCCTTATCCGCGGAGACATAAGCGCGAAGACTAATTCGCGCCATTCAAAGCGCTAAGGAAAAATGCGACCCTACCGCGATGACATAATCACGGAGGGCAAATCCGTGCATTCCCAAGCACTCAGTACCCTAAACCTAACCCTAAACCTAACCTAAAACAAACCCCTAAACCTAATCCTAACCCTTATCTTAATTGAAATCGGCTTTCTGCCGCGGCGCTATTTTAAAGCACCCTTCTGTTGCCGCGCTGTTGTCGCAGCGGTGATGACGCGCGGTGATGACATCGCAGCTTTAGCAACGCGATTTTATTACCGCTATTTTGATGAGCACAGTTTTGTCGTGCCACGGTTAAAGTTAGTAAAACTGCAGTGAATCTAGCTTGCCCACTGACTTTGCTTCTGAAAAGTTTGCAAAAGGTTATCATATGACTCTGAAGCACTACAATCACCATAAACATGAATAAGTTGTCAAGCATCTGAATTTTGATCATGTAACAATGGAGTTGCTGCAACAGTCATAAGTTTGAAAAATGGTAATAAGTTACTTTTCTCAGTGCCACTGTAACTTTGAACCAGTCACTAAATGAACTGTTCTAAGTCAAGGACTACCTGTAATGAACAGTATCTCTTAAGAGAAGAATTATGTATTCTGATGGTAAATAAAGGGAAAATGCAGCCACCAATATTAGGCAGACCTAGTTGGGCATTTCCTTGCTCCCAAACATGTAGGATCGGGATCAAGCTACAAATCAAACAATTGTTCTGTGAAATCAATCTGAATAGAACAAAACAGTGGAAACTGGATCTCAAAGAACAGAACCCCTTGTTCCATTCATCAGTATATTGAAAAACTCATCAAGTTGCTACTGTAAGTTTAAAAAGTTTTAAAGGTTTGGGGAAAACCTTTGAAGTGCTCACCAACCTCAAGTTTGTATTCTATCTATCTACCTACTTAAAAAAATAAGAGATATCTAAATCTCTGAAGATAGTTTGGAAATTTAGAGATTCCCCGAAATCTTACACCTGCTCAGGATTTAGACAAAAACAATACAAACATTGACCCTAAAATACTTGGTTGTAAATGGAAGGGTAGGCAAAGGGTTTTATGAGTACTAGGAAAATATCCCAAATCCTCATACAGAGACATCTCTGGTGGTGTCAGAGCAGTAATAGTAGGTTTAGCTAGGATAAACTATTGGTCCAAGAAGTTCTAGATTCAAACAGACATTTGACGATTTGGTCAATATTTCTCAATCCTTTAGCCTCTATAAGTAGGAAATACATTTTAAAAAGCTGTTTTACTGAAGTAACTGGAAAAAATACAATGAATCAGATGAAAGGTTTTAAATACTGATTGGAGTTTCATTGATAAAGGTTCATACAAGGCATTCCTTCAAAGCTGTTCTCTCAAGCCAAACTCCTCATTCACTCATTGTTTTCTAAAGCAAATGTGCTGCTTTGCTTCGCTTTGCACAACTGTTGGGATTTCTCTCAGTTACCTCAGAGAGCTGTTGGCATTGTTATTGGTGGAGCAGCAAGAGAAATCCCAGAAGTAACACAAATTAGGCTGCTGCCTCTCTCAGCGAGAAGAATCATATAAACTCCATGGTGCAAAGCTTCTCATCAAGATGAAATGAGGCCACCTCCCACAGGCCTAATACTCAGATGAATGTCAAATACAAATCTAAAAGAGGCATGACTGCAAAAGTTGGATAGAAATAAGCCCACAAGCTGTGACACGAAGAGTCATTCTGCAACTCACTTTATCTGTAAAGCTATGAAGTATCTTCAGGTTCATGTAATGTTGCCTTCCTTCTCCAAAAACATAGTACAAAAGGTTGGGCCAAAACCATGGTGATTTCTGTCTATGATGAATTAGATCACTCATACTGGAGTAACAAAGAACAAAGTTATAATACTTTTGTAGCATTTGCTGGCTATTTATATGCATTTTTGATATTACCCATTTCTGGTAATGAGACATCTTTAGAAGAGAAACAAAGTTGGGGAACACCAAAAACTTAGCATGTAGTAAGCATGCATAGTGCATGCATAGTGTACTTTTTAGCTAAATGTTAAAATACTAGATAATTGACTTATTGACAGCTGTCTTGGTCTTCTGTCATCACATTGTTTTGTAACCACCAAATGTGCAATAAGTCATTTTACATATAGCTTGCTTATGATTTTCAACAGGCTACAAAATGCTGAAGCAGTTTGGTCTCATTTTTGCATAGTGTTGGAATAGGAATTGTGCAATCTATATATGTAAAACTAATTTGTCAGTTCTGGGACTCACTAACTGAACTTCATTAATTTCTAACTGTAGATTGGAATGTATGTATGTATGTATGTATGTATGTATGCATGTATGTATGTATGTATGTATCACCATCTATATACTCACTTTTGGACAGCTTTGACATAATCTGAATTTTTATTCTTTTGTGCACCAATATTTTTGCCCATAGCTGTTTCTACAAAGAAAAAAAAAAGGAAGATTGTGACCTGGTTCACATTGCACACAAACTCATAATACAGATTGTCTAGTTTTGACTTTGTATCTCTTGTGAGTTCGGGCAATGAGTTCATAATCCTTAGAATTTTGATTTAGCAAGTTTATGGACTCAAGAAATTGTGATTCATTCAGTAAGCCATGGTTAAGTAACCTGGATTTGGAGTAATGTATGGACCTGTTAATTAAATTCATGACATTCACAAGATTAGAGGACTGAGTTAATTTATTTCCAAACAAAGAATGCAATGTGAAACAGAATATTTGAGTTTGTTTTGCTGGTTTCTTTGAGGCATTGGAATTCTGCAAAGCTCCATTCAGAAGGAATTATTGCCCCAGTCTTCCTCCTGGTTTCTGAAATTAAGACCCTATAAAAGAAATACTAGATAGTATTTCTCTCTTAGGGTCAATAGATAAAGTTGCTATCTTGTTGTCATATATCACAATACATTTCTTTGTGTAATATAAACAGATGGATTTTTAGACTTCAATTATTTCAGCTTTTTATATACAGTACTGTTACTAGACAGTAATCAAAGCTTACCACAGATTACGTCAAGGGTGCATAATGCAATGTATAAACTGCAGTTGAATGGATCTTTGTCCAGATGTTTTTCAAGATTTTGAACAAGGATATTGGCTTGTTCAATCATCACTTCAAGGAAATCTACTAAGATTGTAAAATGGAAAGTTGGAGTTAACATTTTTCTTCTGGAATGCCATTTTTTCCCAGTGCTGCAAAACAAAGAATTAAATAATTAAAAATAATAAGACTGTCCCAACCAAATATTTATTCTACACTGCTAAGACAGATGGGGGGGGGGAGCTACTGTAGATAGAGAAAGACATAAGATAACTATATATCTGGGATATCATCAGATGTGTTAATTTTAGGTCCCAGATTTCATAGCAATGGCAATGTAACCTGTGGACTTTTACACATCTGGGAGGGCTTCCAGATTGGAGAAAGCTGGTTTCAGGAGTCTTACAATATAGCAGCTTTCAGAACTCTGGTCTTATATTTGTATTCTTAAAGCTTCAACAAGGCGTTTAGAAAAGATTTTAGTAGATTAGTAGTTTAGTAGATTAACTGCAGTGCTGTGCTATGTAATCTCAACAAGTAGTAGTTATTAGCAACTAAAAGAGAAATCCACTTGGGTTCTGGTTAAAGTCCACCCATTCAATGAATCTTGATTCTGCTCTCATCTCCCCTTCAACATTTAATATCTTCAACTCTATTCTGATAACAATGATTTAATGCAATGTATAACATCAGCAGCAAATCACGATTTAGGACAATACATGAACCCCTCCACTTTATCCCTCTATCTTTTTTCTATTTAATTTTAAATTACCAATTTGAGGTCTTTCTCCCAGAAGAACAGAACTAGAACCATAAATTCAGTATATTAAAGTCTTATTTAGGACTCATAAAACCTAGGACTTCTATAAACAAAATTGTATCAAAATATTGATTTCTTTCATAAAACTCAACTGCAACAGATATTGAGTAAATGTAAAAAGGACTTGGTACCTGCCCACTGTCCCATACATTAAGACCACATATCTATATAGCATCACATGCAACATGCCAAAAAATAACTGTTCCACTAGCAATGGTTGCGGGGGGGGGGGGGATTTTGATACATTTGTATGGAGACTTGAGGTATAATTTCAGATATGGCAATCTCTTCTCCTCCTTTTGCTAGTGCAGGGCTTTCAAACTCAAGGGGTGCTAAGATCTAGCTGGTGTCGGCACTCTGATAACAGCAAAGGACTGGCCTGCAGTGCCTCTGCAAGCAAAAACGGAGCCTCCCGAGCTCTGTTTTCACTGGCAGAAGGTTGCAGGAGGCTGTCCCAGTGAAAACGGAGGTTGGGAGCTTGTTTTCTCTGGCAGAACACTCAGGCACCACAGGCACCCAACACAAGTGATGTCAAGATGACCATGCACACTCAGGCCATACCCACCCCAGTCCCCTAAGGTCAAACAACCCTAATACAGCCCTGAATGAAATCAGGTTTGACACTCCTATGCTAGTGTATTCACATCTTCAGGAAGATTTAAGGAAAAGAGATAACAGCTCAGTCGGGTCTTAAGATTTCCACAAGTGAGTGGTCCACCATATGATTCAAGCACATGCTTTAATTAACAGCAAAATAGTTGAGTTACATTTTGTCTCACCTTGTTAGAAGTCCTGTTCCTAGCCAAGGTTGAAGAAATCGATAGAGATAGGACTTCTCAATAAATGTTGAGCTACGTAAGATAACCTGGAAAACACACTACAGTATTGTAACTTTAAAATAAACAGGAATGGATATTTTCTTTATCACTTTATATTTTGATGAAATGGAAGCGAAAATCAGAATTCTGCATTGATAGCCCAAAATCAGACAATTTCTAATCTGCATTCATTAGGCAAATCAAATAAATTTCATGTTGATTGTTTTAAGGTTAATCTCATACCAGAGCATTAGCATTAATCAGAGCATTAGTTACTCCACTCAATGTTGTGTTATAGGCAAATGTGATATGCATTTCTTATTCCTACTCCACAAAACCATTAACAAAAATGTTGAACAATACAAGTAAGAATGAGTCTGCAATCTGATCAGAATTTTTTGAAGCATTATGTATTCATTAAGTTGTAATCAACTGCCTCATCACATCATTAAAAAGTATTTTGACAATTTCTCTGCTCATTAAAAGTATTTTCATAAACCTACTAAAGATTTAATCAAAAATTAAATAAGATTAGTCTGACAAGAATTCACACATTAACTTTGTTATCATTATTAATCATTTATTTCACTATAGCTGTTATTAGCTATAGTCCGACCCTGTGGAACGACCTCCCCGTTGAGATTCGCACCCTCACCACCGTCCAGACCTTCCACACAGCCCTCAAGACCTGGCTATCCC